TCAAGATCCAAGTACCCTAGAAATTAGACTAATGTCTACAATTAGTATATTTTTATACTGCAATCTAGGCAGAGTCAATTGTATATTAGGATATATCATAAAAGTTAGGGTATATTACCAGAGGTAAAATTTTATGTAGTATATATTTTTGCAATTTTAAGAAGACCTTCAAGTAGTTTTATTTCTAAAAGAAAGCTACAAAATGTGTTTGAAGATCTATTCAAACCTGTTTTCAGACCAGAACTTACATGATATAAAAATTAATTAAATTAATCAGATCACAGACATCACCCGTCAGTTTGCAATGGTTTTGAATTAGGTTTAATTTTCTCCAATATTATTTTGTTTATCGGCACTCAAGCATATAGTTGCTAACTTTCTACACAAAACTTTATTTTTATCAGTATTCTCAACCTTCAATTACTTTAATATCCCTTTAACTATATACATCTATATATTTTTTTAGCTATATATACTGAATACCATATAAATCATGTTAGACTGCTTGACTGACTACGCTCATATATAATTAGAACAGAACCAACAGTTGAGTAGCTAAGAATATCTTTTACTCTTCAATATAATTCTCTTATTAGTACGACACAATATTCTGTTTAAAACCACAAACAACGTATTTTCTATATAACTCTCTTTCTTGATTTAAGAAAGGAAAATATGTTATCATATAAGGGGGTTTAGTGGTGTAGGGGTCTGTGTCAATACGCAATATTTACCGAGTTATAGGCTATCAATAAAAGTAACAATCCGAAAAAAAAATTGATTTTTGAATAAAAAATAAGTTAATTAATAAGAACTGGAGAAAAGCAGTTTTCAGTACGTAGTGCTTTTCAAAGGATAATTGTAGCAAAATGGTGAATGATAGAGGAAAACTCTTAGACTAAAAATATTCACAGTATTAAAAGGCATTAACTTACGGAATAAATCCATAAAAATATTTAAATAATTTTGCAATAATTTAGGCAGTTTTTAAAATATATTTCTTACTGCATTTTCTATTCGGTAGCCTTTATTTTAACACCATGTATTTAGGCATATATTGAAAATGGACTCAAACCTTGATGTATAAATGTTATTAAAATTTTAATTATCATTTAAATTCAACATTTTATTATTTTTTTGAATTAATTTCGCAATAATTAAGGCATTAGGCTGTTAATTATTTTGAAAATATATTTTTTACTGTATTTTCTTTTAGGTAGACCCTATTTTGCCACCCTGTATCTAGGCATATGTTGAAAATGGACTTAATGCTTGATGTATAAACGTTATTAAACTTTAATTATCATTTAAATTCAACATTTTATTATTTTTTTTTTAAGAAATTTACTGATAAAGTTACTATAGACTTTCATGTAACAAAGAATATTAGTACTCACGATCTCGAGAAACTAGCTCGGTAACCAAGTAACATAACAAATCGGTAATAACAAAATACAAAATATCGAATATCTTAATATGTGAAACTTTTAAAGAAGTATTTTAATACTATGCTAGCATTTCTTGATTTGATAAAAATCTATTCCTCTTTGCCAACTAAGTAAACTTTTATTAGTCCGTTCATTATTTGGGAGCTTGGGTATAGATGGCTTAAAAGAATAAAGTAGCAGATGAGATTGATTAATATGCTAGATGCAGGTTGCTACATTACGAAGAAAGCGATATACACAAAGCTTTTAAAACTCTGCAACATGTTTTTACGTTGGCATTAAAAGGGAGTGAAAGAGATTTTGGAAGAAGTCTTATTCCTATGTCATGCGTTGCCGCGTACATGCTTAAAATTAGAATTAGAAAACGTCTCAAAAAGAAAGCTGCAAAAACTCCATAGATATGCACTAATTGTCCATATCTTTCTTGATATTGTATACAAATCAACGTAAAGTATTGCTCCATATAGTACCACTGTTCGATAATAGTATCACTGTTCGATAATAATTAGATATTAGGTATTTAAGATTATTATTGGTACTCAAGGAAATTATATGTCAGCATATCCTTTTGGATAAATAACAATAAAAAATTTAAATTTTTTTTACATTTATTATAGACTTACCGCAAACATGTTAAACGCCCATTTGCAACAACAATGGCAGAAGAAGTTTTCCACGCGAATCTTATACCTTCTGATACAGATTTCAGAATTTTCAGAGATTTTGGAAGCTTACCTGGTAAATTTTTTATACACAAATTGTTTATAATGCAAACTTTCTTAATAAAACATTTTTCTAGGTTTGGATTTTGCACATTCTTATAACGGCTACGTCTATCATACTAAGTTCGATACTTTCGATGTTATACCCCGTGGTAACCTTCAACACACTGGTGAGAATTTACTTAGTCTATCCCGTGGCTTTGCTAATGCACCTGAAATGGAAAATCCAGAGGTAGTATAAAAATTAGTTATTTAATAAGATTTATATTTGATTTCTCAATTTCTTAATTAAATTAATAGCTACACTCAAAGGGTCACACAGTTTTCTTCGATGTTATGGGTAAATTTTTCATCTCTTACACCGAAACGCAAGGAAAGATTATAAACCTCTCGGTAGCTGTCGCTGCAATAATACTTGTTGTTATATCTATACTACGAATTGCTACAGCCTCCCGTGCTCCATCATCCGATGTTTGGTCACAATTTTTGTTGATTTTTATGTTACACATTCTAGGTTTCGTCCTAGCTGTTGTACTTCCGATTATTATTGCTACGTTATATGACATGGCTGATCTCTCAATGACTTGGTTCACAAATAAATGGCTTGTCATAGGTCTGTATGTGTGTCCAGCACTTTTTGGTTTAGCTGCGCCTACTGTATTCTACCTAAGCCTTAGTAATAATGTAAGTTAACATAATTTAAATCAAAATTATTTGTGTTAATATTTATCAACTTTTAGCAAAAAATTGCACATTCCTACAAACTACAAATGGTGATGCATGCACATTGCATTTTATTGGCCATCATTTGTATCTTACTTACCTTATATGGTATACGTAGCACTTATTTACCTATGCTGTCATTAGGTTTCTACGTTTGCGCATTACTGCTCAACTTGATAACTACATTACATGATCAGGGTAAACTCAATATATTTTTCATTCATCGGTTAAATAAATTATAATCCTCTTTGCAAATATTTCAGGTTATTCTTGGTCGATACTCTTAATTATAGGACAATTGGCACCATTCTTCTATTTCACATTTTTGATTTATGAGTTATTGTGCACTGTTATTCCTATGACTGGTCGTAATGGTACAGCTATTAATCCCGATCTTTTGATTGGTATCTTAACTTTATTAGGAACAGTGTTATCTATGGGTTTCATTGTAAGTCTCTTAAGTTTTCAATATTTGTTAAGGACTTCCAAAAAATATTGTATATCATTTTAGATACATTTAATAAGTCTTTTCCGTCGTCCAAAGTCAGCTCTATTTTTGTTGATAGGAGTTATGATCATTTTTGTGATTATTTCCTTAACTCCTGTTGGTTTTCCATATCGCGCAAAAACTAGTGTTGGACGGGTGAATTTCTTGGTAAGTAAATGTGATTAAAAATCATACTTGCGAACTATACAAGTTTTGATAAATGTTTTTTTAAGATATTGTATAAAAGCATAACTTAACTTTTATTAATTTTAAATACATTAATACAACTATTGTTTATATTAATATTAATTTCTTCTAGCACGTTCGCCGCGTATTCTACGAATATGATGGTACAGTGAGCAGGAATGAGTCTGGCTATTATTTCGATTTCCAAGATAGACGTATACACTATCCTATTGAAAGTATGACAACAACAATTCAAAAGTCTAATTGATAGTAGTAAAAGTAATATATTAAATATTTTCCAGATGCTCTCGATTTAAGTAAACTAAGGGTTGTTACACAAGATTGTGAAGAGCACATGATGTGTGGTTTCCCTGTATTTAATCATAGATGGGCGAAGGCACGCAATGAAGGCAGATGGTTACCAACAGAACAACCTGTTCACATACCATTCACACCAACATTAACATTACTTAATCGATCCGTCGATGACGTCGCTAGGAGAGTACGTTATGAGTTCGAGCTAAAGGGTTCAACACATCATAGTCTGTTTGTGCAAGCATTGGATGGCGTTACTATAACTGATTGGTCATTCATTAGAAATATGTTGGAACAACCAGATAAATGGCAACCACCTTATCATATCTTCTTTGATTATTGTGCAGATGATACACCATTAAAATTCTATTTTGAATTGAAGGTAAGGAGCAATATTCTTTTATAACTTTTTTAGTCTCAATTCGCATATTTTTTATTTATTTCATTTAATTATAATTTATTAATTATATTATTATTTTATAAATTTTAGAAAACAAGTGGTTCACTTGATGGACCACTCTTCGAACTTGGAGTTTCCACACATTTCGTTAGTTTTGAACATGATCGTGGGGCTGCTGGAGAAGAGTTCATTAGAAGTTTCCCGAATTACATACATGTTATGGAATGGCCCAGTTTATATGAGAGACACATATTCTAATATATATTTGTAATATTAAATAGTGTAATAAATATTAAGTGTATTAAAACAGTATCTGTTTGATTTAAGTATTGAAGTTATAAGTAACGTAGATGTGAATAAAATTACCCACCCAGTTTCACCTACTTTCAATAATTCTAAAATATTAATTTTAAAACATAATATTGCATATTGCTTATATATATTTATTTATAGATTAATTAAATCTTTAAACATTTGAACTGGAATAAAACACTTAGTTACATTACATTTATTATATATATATATATATAGTTATTAAAAAAAAAGAACATCGCACTCTATGAATGGCAGGACAGGGATTGCACAGTAGTTTTCTATGACTAAAACAATAACAATATCAATGCATTCGTTGTAAATTCAAAAGAAAAAGTTTGTCTAGTTCAAGTGTTATACAATTTTATATATATAATATTATTATAATAAAATAAAATAAATAATTTTTATATTTAATATTTTACAAGTACGATATGTGTATGTCCCTGACAACCATTCATAATTGCCATAATCGACTATTATTTACCCAAACCCACCCACATGTAGTTTGGATCAATGAAATGTGAACCATGATATCCAGGCGGATTCATAGCTACTAACGAGCGTATCTTTTGTGATGGACGATAATTACGTATTGCATGTAATACGCCACTTGTTTTAGTGTTGGGGTCACCATCTGTCACGTCTTTATCATTCGAAAATTGTTCTTCCAATATGCTACGTAAAGAGTGCTCACCTTCAAGTAATTTCTTTCCTGAGTGACTTAATTTAGAGTTCTCTGAGAAATTAACATTTGTAGATAAATCTCTAAAAAAATCACCAAGATTAGTCATCGTTCCTAAAACAAAAAATGATATAAAAATTAGTTCGATAAAAAAATATTAGTGCTGTAATCAAAAAGTATGGTAAAATTTTAGTCTAAAATAAGCTTTTCAATTCCGACAAGCCTGTGTAGTACTATCCCTGATATCATCTATATCAAAATGCATGTCAATATCTGGATTTAGTTACACATAAGTTTATGAATAGTTATAATTAATTGTCCATTAGCTTTTTTTCAATATCTAAGTTTGATTAAATATTGTTTTCGTAATATTTTGCTGGAGAAACTTTAAGAATTTTAGAGAAAAACGTCGGCGCAAAAAATATTTACAAGTAGTATAAACAATTAAAACTGACAGACTTACCAACACCGCGTTATCAAATCTCAGAATGGTTACAGGCTTCTCGGGGAGGTATGCAATCTGAGGTGAATTATTGCTTAGTCTGATGAAGTGATAAAGAATAATCCAGTCAAGGCGTAAAGAGGGGTTTTAAAAACCTCGAGTTAAGAAAGAGTATAAGTGCTTAAGTGCACTGGCTCAAATAGCTTCAACATAATAATAAATAAAAATTATTAATAAAAAATAATACAATAAAATAAATTACTCATTAACTTATATATATTAATTTATAATTACAATTAAAGAAGTCTTGATAGTGTTTAATAGGATTTGTCGTGGAGCGAAGCACTGTAACCACAGCAGTTCTAACATTTACTATTAATGTTAGTACTAAATACATATATTAGAATGTGTTAATAATATTCAAAATATTTTAAATAAGAATTTTTTAAAATTTTCGATATTAAATAAATATTGATTTGAAGTATATTTTATTTAGCAACGACTATTTGAAATAGTTTTATTATTATGATAATTTCAAAATCTTTAAAAACTCAAATTTTCTTAAATTGACTTTGTTCTTAAATCTTTCTACAAATCTATATTAAAGACCTAAAAACAGCATTAAATATGAGTTCTAAGAATACATACTATGAATGTAAACTGAATCAACCAGTTGGTTTAATTGTTACTAAATTAAAAGGAGTTTGTGTAAGAGTATTAAATATCTCAGCTTAATTAATATTGTTGTCATCGTAATTATTTAAACTTTTCCTGTATTTATTCATACTTTTAATTCCACTTCAAAAGTTTCCAGTTTTTCCAATTTTTTTAAGCAGATATTAAAGTTATTTTAGCTAAACATTTTATTAACTAAGTTAAGTATGCACTTCAAAAATATAACCTTGATGTTCAACGTATTAAATGTTGTAAATATTAAACTGTGTGGATAAATACAGAAAGATTTCAGCAACTCTTCAGAAGTTTTAAATGATTACGTGAAGCACCCCGTCTGATTAATTCCATCTACCTTGCCACAGAAGAGAAATATTAAACTGTGTGGATATTTTATTTCGAGATGTGTAGCAGTCAAACGCCACCCTAGATGTGAATGGAACTAAATTCAAAACCTTTAACCCAATTATTTGATAGTATGTATATATTCCTATTCCATTTTTTTTCCACTTTCAGACAAGCTATAGCTTCTACAATAGCGATCACCTGCGCCTGAAAAACATTGTAGTGATCAGAAAGCCTATAATATATCCATTTACTAAGTTCCTCTAAGAAAACTTTACTAACTATACCACAAACTATTTTCTAAGACCTCCGTCTTTATGTAAATAATCCCATACTGCTTAAGACTTGAATTAATTAGAAATTACGTAAAAACTTTAAAGAATTTAATATAAGATTTCCAGAGATATATAGTTGTACGCATTGTATGTAATTTTATTTTTTACTATTTATAGTCCAAAGTCAAAAAGTGAGTATTAAATTTATTCGTCTTGTTATCAAGACAAAGTGCTGTGCGAAACATTATTGCAGGGACTACATAGCGTATGAGTGTTTCGGCATTGATATTCTTTTGATTAGTGAGTTTCTACTACTGTTCATCTTCTTCTTATAGTTTTAAGTTTCAGGTATATAATATAAGGGAAAGAAGAAATCATTATTCCCATTTGATTGCGAAATGGGCTTAGCGGTGAATGAGAGAAAACTATTGTTAATATCTGCTACGAGGGGTTCAGTAGGTAATTGGAATGTAGAGCTCTCTCTCGACTAACAAATTTACGCGCTATATGACGCTCATGCTACCTATGGGTCTGTATGGCACGGAAGCATGAACTTTATCACAGAATGATGAAGCAGCAATTGGTTTTTCGACTTTTCGACAGAGAATTTTTTCGTAAGATATTTGATCCTTTATGAGTTGCCTATGGTGGCTGTGGTGAAACGCAAACTTACAAGGAAATTGTAAATTGTATTTTACTTAGTGTGTTTTGACCGGGCACTGTGGCCTTAAGTTCAGCAGATGTATTAGTAGGACTTGCTGCTTGTCAAGAAATAAGTTATGCCAAATATATATATCGGCGTATTATCGTGATGCGTATGGTTTAAGAACACCATCCTGTTAAGCATTTAAGGAAGGTAACCGTGTTCAACAACTCTGGATTCTGTCTGTATGATCCATTCCCACGGAAAAGAATATAATATTTCCGAAAAAGGCATTAATATATTTTCGATGTAAGGCATACCTATGGTAAGAGACGACTACAATCCAATAGGCATTATCTAATAATATTTTGAGTATAAATGGTAGAGAGTGATGTTGTCTTGAGGAATTCGCACAGTGGTGTAAATCTGGTAGAGCGCAAGTCAAGGGTTAGCTTCAATAGAGGTTAGCTCTTTTAATGGGAGTATCGTGACGGCAGTGGTTAAAATCTAAAGCCGTGTGCGTAAAATTATTGTATTAATTTCTTTCATTCGATATGGCGTTGCATTTACTATCTGAGTGTTGTGACCCAAAAAGCAGTAAAAGTGTTAGATAGGCCTCGCTCTCTCCCACTGAGAAAACTCTATTCAAACGTATAGCTTCAATTAGTATTGACGGAATTTCTTGGAATTTGAATGTTATTTTTATCAGCGCAATATACTGATATGTCTATTAATAGCACTCTAGTGTTTAGACTACAAGGCAGGTAGTAACTTTAAAAACTGGATACTGTCAGTGTGCCACTTGAGTAATGTACATTTCTACAGTTAGCAGGCTACAAAATATTTATTCATTCATTTTATTCATTCTGGTGATGAAATAGCCTACTAAAAGCATAAGATTATTTATTAGGTATAACAGAGTGTGTTCTACAGAGGCATAATAGATGCCTTATCCGCATGTGACCATAATTCTTTAGTATAGTACGAACGGTGAACTTATAATGAATTCCTTTATTCATTAGGGATTCATTAGGATTCACTATTAGGGAGTCAGTAAATTATCATTGGAAAGTTATACAAAATTTAAAGGATCTTGCATTATTTGAAGTTTTTGCAACAATTTTGCTAAAATAGAGAGTCTATATTGCCGGTTAAGGCATGATTGCTTTTTAACTGCATACAAGTATAACTAGAAAGATATTATTTACTGACCTGCACTTATTGAGGGTACGAACTGTTGCTGTTCATCTTTGTCCGTACGAAGCTTTTCACGTTTATTGTAGTTCTGCATTTTTTCAAGCTGCTTCAAGGATTCTTTCAAGTCATTATCACGCTCCGATAGAGCATAGGGATAACGTGGTTTTAATTTAGGTGCTTGTTCTTCGTAGGAAGTTATAATATCGAATACTGTGCGAGGCCACTGATCGCCAATAGGCAACGGCTTACGTTTCTTTGACATTTTAAACACTTTATCATAATTTTCAATTTCTGCCGAATCTCTGTCTTTATTGTTATCAGTTCGTTTTTGCATATTTTTGTCATTTAATAATTGTTCATTATCATTTCGCAAAGCGTAATTGACGTTATCGCCGACATTTAAAATTTGGTGCTCATCTCGATTGGGTGCAAGTTCTTTGGAGTACTCATTGTCGTCACCGAATTCGTTAAATTGTAAATTGTCTTTCGCATTTGTATTATCAATGACCAAACTCCTCTGCTTTTGTGCAAACGGATGTAAAACCTTTTGAGTACGGAAATTTGTAGTACGAAATTGTTGCTTTTGACGTCGCTGCAAATCCTTTAACCATAAAGCATACCAGTCATCTCTGCTTTGTTGATTTACTGCAAAAGGATGCGTGGCGCCTATAGTAGCGAAAGCAATTTCGGTAGGTGCCAAAGTATATCCGTTTCCTGTGTTAATCTTACGAATCGATTGCGGCAAACTATTGTCAAAATATTGGGGAGGTTTGTTTGTGTCATCGTATAGTAACTGTTGCTTTAGTATTTGCGAAGAAAAAGAATGCTGTGGGAGATGAGGTGGTAAGGCTGCAACTGCAATTAAAATAGAAATTTTTCAAATTTTTTTTTTAATTATAAAGGATTTTTAATACGTCATAAATATTAAAAATAGCTTGTAGTATTGTTACATTTAATTTTTTAAACATTGTTAAAGGTCAAATCTGTTGTAGGTAAATACAATTATGTCCTTATTTGATTGTATTCCTATTTATTTATACACATTTCTCTGTTTTTCATTGATAAGTTTATTTAATCATAACTGAGTACCTAAAAAAATTCTATTGTTTAATCAAAGTGGAGGTAATTGTTTTGTAAAATATAAATTATTGATGCTTATCAACATTTACTCATATTTCATATTTATCCTCAAGGCAGTACTGCAAAGAAACAATAACACGACCTCACATTTCTTAAACTCATATATCCTCTTTGAGTTAAAAAATTATTCCTTGAAAAAGGAAATTGAATTTTTAATTTAAAATAATCTCATGCAAGTATGATTTGAAGTGAAAATCAGACGAGTATTGTGCGTGAATTCATAATCATGGAAAATTAAAAATGATTTTGATTTCTAAATATAAACTCAATGAAGCTTAATTATAAATTAATGACTTATTAAAATTTTACTACAGTTAACCTTTCACATTTTATATTAAAAAAATGTATATATGTATACTTAAGTTGAATTTTAAAAAATATCTTCTTTTTCTTAAACTGTCTATCCATGATGTTGACGGTCATATTTACTAAATTTTTTTATATTTACTTTAGATAAATATGTATCATAATGGGCCTAAGTGGATCCACTAAGGATCGCCGGTATAACCTTAGATAAATATGAAGGTTCGTATAAGTTGCCTAGAAATAAGATATAATATTTGAGATACAAGAGATAAAATAAAAAAAGTGACAATAACTTTGGAACTTGAGCATTGAAAGTTTGTGCAGCCTTGGTTATTTGTGGAAAAATTCGATTAGTCATCGCTTCTAATTTGACAGGCACGAGTTCTAAGCCTGACACTTGCAGTCCAAACAAATTATATACGGACTATAAACTAATTAAAAAAAATTCAAATATTTTCTAACACTATAAGTACTTGGCAATACTCGAAACAGTGTTGTATGGTCAGCCAAATTTTAATAAATTAACTAAATTTTTGTTGTTGTCTTTACATTTCTACTCGAACTCATCTAACTTTTAAAAAAATTTATTTTGACAACAAAATTTAAGTACGCCGTTTATCTTGAGCTGCACGAATATACTTTCTAATTGTACTTGTGCAACCCATTTACGTCTATTTATAAGCCGCTACATCTGCGATCGCGACAGCTTAAGTCCTATACCACCATTTATATCTATTCTTTATTGTAGTTTCATTTGCAAGAGCCTGTATTTAGTAATACAAAGGATATATCTCAAATGAGCAGTTATGAGCAGTTTTGGTTCTTTTTTACAACGTCTTAGACCTAGTAATCTTTAGTAAGCGATATATCTCAATAGCGATATAAGCACCATATCTCAAACGTTTGCATTCTGTTTATTTTTGCAACTTCAAGTGTCAATGCTTCTACTCCACACAATAATATGGAACAAATATTACTATAACACGAATCGTATTTATAGTTTTATATACAAATTAGTATTAGTTAAAACTTTTCTTAAGTCGAAGTGCGCGTTTCAGGTCATAACTCATAGAATAGCTCAATTTAACTATCAAAAGAAAGAAATGTTAAAATAAAAATTGTTTTATTTATATCGAATTTTAGATGTAGATGTCTTCAAATCCATGTACTGCTCTTCATTGATTAACAAACGATTCACATATTGCACCAATGTGGACCACTGCAGAATCTTCATATATTCACTTCAACATTAAAATTTTTAACTATTATATTGGTCTACAAAATGTACCATATCGAGTGGTCGAGTAAGTTACGTCACCCCGAACTAAAAGATCTATTGTGCGCTTAAAGGCCCAACTATTGATAAATCCCGTAATTGGTGTGGGCTTAATTTTACCTATTTTATTGGGAAAAGTTCCCACTTTCAAGGTTGTCAAGTCTACGTATTGCCGCCGCTAGGCAGTTGCATATAATATGTTCTGATGTTACCTTCTCCTCATGACAGAGTCGATTGGAATCACTTTCTGCCGCATATATATTCTTCATGTGGTGATTGAGTGTCTTGTAAGAAGTTTAGGATAGCGTCAACTATGATGTGAATCTTCTTGACTGTCGCATTTCTGTTTGCGGTCTCCAGTGTACAAGTAGATTTTGTTTCTCCCGTTCATATAATAATTTATTTGTGCAGCTATTTGTTACCCCGCAGAAGGGCTCTGAACCAATAAAAGAAGTACATGCACACTTTTTTGTTAGGGAGTCTGCTATTTCATTGCCCTCATGCTCTTTATATCCTGGTACCCATATAAGCGTAATATAGTTCCTCGATGCTAGATTATTGAGAAGTTTAAAGTATTCCCAGACCAACTTTGATTGGAATGAGGTGTTTCTAAAGATTTTAGAGCTGCTCCTTGTTAAGTACTCCATTAGTTTGTTTATTTATGTATTGCTCAATTAGAAACTTTTCCTTATCTGAACCGATAATATTTGGCAATTGTTCATATTTTTGCAAGAGCAACTGTTTCTTCACTCTATTAAGTCTTATTGTTTTTTGAACACGTTGAAATTTTGTCCTTTTGGTGCTTACCAGGACTCTTTAAGGACTATTCCGATCGCCACGTCATGCCCATTTAATAACGGATCGTAGGAAAAAGAATTTTTTTTAACAATTTCTTCACTGCACCATATGTCAATATAGATTAGTTTTCTAAATATCGGGGTTTGAAGTGGTTAATTTTTACAAAAAAAGATAGTTAAGGTAAAAAAAATGTAGTTTAATGTTAGCACATCAGTGTAAAAAGTTTATAACTTTAAAGATCGATGTCTTGAAAAGTAAGTTATATCGCCTAATATCGCAGTCAAGTAAGTTTTTTCAAAATAATAGACTATACTAAAATTCGTTGTTAAATTGGATTTCCTGGCAAATTAGAATGGTTCTTAAAACTGATATGTCCAAAGAAGTGTATAGATTTATATGCACTTTACTTTAAATAGTTAAATATTCAATTATATTTCATATATTAAATATTATTTTCAATATTTAACAATTTAATTTAAAAACATTGACATCTGAAATTTAAAATATATGTGTATAAATCGAATACTCTTATAAGAAAATAACAAAAGCGGAATTAAATTAAGAATGTTTCAATACTTTAAAAAGAACTAAATATATATGTAATATATATAATATAAAGAAGTAGTTGTGAGAATTATTGTTTTTTTTTTTTGTAGATTATTTTATTAAAAATAAGAGTTGTAAGCGGAGCTTCACATATCTATTGTGATACCATAAGAACTTGGTTGCAAGTTAATCCAATTCTTACGTTTTTATTGTAAACTCATTTAAAAGCCCATATGCTTATGCTCAGATGCTTATATTAATTATATTTTATAAACAAGTGATGTAGGAAAGGTCAACATTTTCAATTAAGTAGAAAGCTTTTTAAATTACGCATTTAAAATAGACAGATATATGTGAAGAGGAACCTACTAAAAAAGGTCTTTCGGTAACGACAGAGATTGACTGAGGTGTTCAGTATTCCTTTCTCCATCATTATCTTCTCTAATACAAAGCTTTTATACAAGACATTGATGTATATATAGAGCATAATATATATAAACCAACCAGATACTTTGTTAAGTTATAATTATAGTTATACCAGATTAATTTAACAAAAAATTCAATTAATTAAAATAATATAAAAAATAAAACTTTTGTTGTTGTAGTTCACTACTGTTCGAAAAAACCTCCATAAAAAATTAAATTAAATTTTTATTTCAAAAATATGCTTAAATTAATTTAAAATATTTTTTATTTAATTTGTTAAGTAATTTAATTAAAGTTTCATATATAAAATAATTAATTTTTAAATCAGAACTTTAGTTCATTATTACTTGTACTCAAATAACTGATTTTTTTTGCATTTGATATGATTACACATACTTATAACACAAATAATATTTAACTTCAAGTTTTGAATAGATTTCAAAAATAATAACTTGTTGTCACATAGCTGGCAATATCTTACTCAGTCATCACTTGACGAATGTTCATTTTTAAAGCGTCAGGAGTAAAGCCTCCATAAACATTATCCTTTGGGTAACCCAGTCGTGCTTTGTTGTTGAAGTGTCGCCACTTGAACATAACCTGACCAAATCCAACGGTGATAAATTGTATGATCATGGTAACAAATTTACTTCCCGAAAACGTGAAATTTTTCATTATTTCTACCAGAATAAATTCAAAATATTGGTGCAACAACTATCCAATTAAATCCACACATAAAAATTGCAATTATGTGACGGTTTGTGTTACACTAAAAGATATACGCCTCTTGCACGCCCAGAAAGAGTGTGAAACCATGCAATAACTTCATGTGGATTCAATAGTCATTAGTCTATTATTTGTGGATTTGGAAGACTGTACATGGACAACTTTTATTATTGACATATGCTAAATCGAGCCATAATATTCCAAAAGATAAAACCAAATCCTGTGCGTATCATGCAATGTATAAATTTCAATCTGCTATGTTATAACACTTTTAATATAAATATTTTCAGTAGACTATATTTAGGTCCTAGCACAACTGGTTGTAGAATAAGTTTCTTTCATATATCCCTGCCACTTTACCTACAGTATATTTAGATGGACGATTATGTCGTTCATAAGCAACTGGTATTGCATTTAATGTACATACTACGGTTTCTTCTTTTCTTTAAACTAAATAATAATAAATTATTTATAATAAAATTCAATTAAATTCAAAAAAGCTGTTTAAGTACTAATTACGGGGTGATAAAGGTCAAAACCTGCAAAAGCCCTTACTCATATACTTTAATCTTTTACCAATTGATTTAGTAGCTTACTACGGTGATCTTATTAAAAAAAAAATTGAAATAAAGTACCTCAAAAATAATAATATTTTTCAGAACGTTCTAACGTTCTTGAGAAACTTCCAGATTCCTATAAGAGGTCGAATTCTGCAGTATCCGCGAAAACCAAACTTAAAGCATAACTTCATCAATCAAATCAGTTTTTTCAAAGCGTTATAGCCCACATTTTAATCAATAGGTCTACATCATATTATATTTTATTTTATATATGAAAACTAGTTTTTTTGTTATTTAAAATATAATTTGCTAATAATTTTGTTTCTGAACGTGTTAATTGGTTAATAGTTAAATAATACATTTTTTAAAAAATTCATTTCTTTTTTAAAAATTTTTATTTAAACCAATATTTCGACTGTATTCGTTTAGGTAATTTTTGAAAGAAAATTTGATCATTAAAATTTTTGATCATTAAATATAATATAATTTGCAATAAAGAGTTAGTAGTATTTGAAATTTAATAACTTTTTGTTAGTCTCTTTAATATAAGAGCAGACTTAAAGAAAACGTAATATACAACTGTCCTCCTTTAGGAAAACTCTATTTCGAACCCCGGTGAACTATCAGAAACTGGCAATGGTATGATTCATAAAGAATATAATTTGGTTTAAATGTTGGATGTAATTTTTACAATACTAAATGTATTTCATTTAATAATATCTTCTACTAAATCATGAAGAAATGTTTGATTTAACAATATCTTCGTAGAAAAAGTCATTCAGACATAATTATTTGAATTATTTGAATAAAAAAATTAAAAAGAAAATAAAGATAAAATTTTTATAAATTTATGGTTTATTTCTAGAACTAAAATTTTAGTTTTATTAAAATTAATTGATGAATATTTAAATCCAGAAAAAATGTAATATGTTATTTTATATTTATATGGGTTAGATATTTTTTGACGAATATAATAATTTTTTTTTCAATTATTTATGTTAATTTTTATATAATTATTTTTTCATTTTTTATAATTTCAATATTATTGTAAATGTAAATGAATTAAAAAATCGAAATCCTTATTAATTTATCTAATTATAAAGATTAACAATTCTTATTATTGTTTTTTGTTAAAAACTGTTGTATAATATTAAAATAATAATATTATAGTAAAATAATATGTAAAATAAATGAAATATATGAAATTATATAAAGTAAATCCAAAACTTAAGGCTGTCATATTATGATTGTATTATTATTAAATATATGGAGAGGTTTCGAACAGTAGTTAATTGTAGCAACAAAATTTTATTATTTAATTAATTCAATTTTTGGGCTGACCATTCATACAGCTGTTTTGAATATTTGCCAAATAGCAAATAGAACTGAAAGACATCATTGGTCCTTTGCAATATCTTATGTTTAATAATTTGTTTATAATTTTTTTCAAAACTGCAAGTACAAAGGGTTGAACTCTATTAAGTAAAATAGTCACCTTTGTCATAACTGTTGTTAAAATCAAATTTAATATTAAATTTATATAAAATAGTCACTTAAAAATGACGTAAAATTATAAGTTATATTTAAAAAATATTGGTCTAGCACGTACAAATCGTGGAGTAACATTCGCATGACTTTCTCAATATTACGTTTCTAGATTAGTTTCTATACATAAGAAAGAATATATAAATCATGCAATAAATAATGCCTCTACAAACAGAATAGTATTAAAATTTAACAATTGAAAATAAAAATATAATTAATTAATTCAATTATTTTGCAACTGGTTTATGATTACGTTCTAATATAAACACAGTAAATAAATTTGTTAATAAAATTTAAACATCAAATTAGCAAAACTTCACAAAATCTGCGAACATAAAAAAGTCAAGTATGGTTTTGGGCCAGTTCGTTAAGGAACGCTGACTCTGAGCTTCAAATTTGGCCGGGCAGGAGTTCGATTTGTGATACTTGCAATCTCAAAAAATTATTTACGAATAATTAAATACAGGAATTATTTCCAAGATCACTGATGATAGGTATTTGGCAATACTCGAAATAGCTGTATGGTCAGTCAAAACTTCAATTAATTAAAATAATATAAAAAGGAATTTTTATTGTTGTAGTTTACTACTTTTTGAAAACCTCTTTATAAATTTATAATATTATATTATTAAATTAATATTATATTATTTCGTCATAACTGATGTTAAAATCAAATTTAATATTAAATAAATATATAATATTATAATTTTAAATTAAAGTCAAAAATTTGGAATTTATTATAAGAAATGCAGAAAACGCAGTCTTAATAACAGATTATAACAAATAGAGTTTTAAAAATAATAAATACACATTAAATTTTTTTATTATAATTTATTAATCTTATTAAAAATGTATAATTTTTTATATTATTTAATTAATATTGTTTAAAAAATATTTTGTCTTACCACGCATGAAAAAAATAAAAAGCAGCATTTTTTTAATACAACACAAAGGCAACATTTTGGTTAAATTTGGTTGCCAAATTTAAATATTTTTTTTTTTTAAATATATTTTGATTTAAATTCACATTAAATTCTCTGTTAAATATTGTAACTTTTGGGCCACATTTTGCAAATTGCTTTAAAAGCAATGCCGACTAGAATTCAACTGTTTTCGCCGATCGCTGAACCGTTTACTGCAATCCTTTTTCCAAATTCACTACACAAAAACTGAAACCGAATTCAATAGCAACGCCGCTTTTATAGTTACGGCGCGCGAATATTCACCCAAAGGATGGCACAAAAATTGTTTTCGGTTCGAAATTCACACCAACAACTTCATTGAGCTCACCTGTTGGATGTTACGCCAATACCCACCTTCCTACACCAGGGCTACCCAGTTCATTTATTTGGCGTTGTTATTGAAATGATATGTGCGTACGCACACACAATAGAAAGCAGCGACTGCAGCTGAGCTCTGCCTTTGTTGGAAGTATTTGCATGTTTGTGTTGCGGATGTCGTGTGTTTGTGTATGTGTGGGGCACACGCAGTAAAGTGAAGTGCATTTGTCAATGCTGTTACGCTGTTATGTTGATATTGAGCAGCAGATAATGTTGACTTTACTAGTCATAAGTTGGCTGCAGTCGAATTGTCTGCCGCAGAATTGCCGTCCATCTATCCGCCTTTCTCCATTCATTTTTATAATTTCGCACACGTCCAAACGCTGAACATTTTTATTGTTGATGCTGTTAAATTCCCAGAATAAATAAGACTGTTAGGACATGCGCAGGCGAAGCGCTGAAATTTTAATGTTAAAAAATTTGTTTTATTTTTGAAATTCATAAGTCAAAAGTGCTTATAGCGTTACTTCTTCTGTATAATAATGACAACATACCTAATAAAAATGTAACGGTTAAGTAACATAATTAAAGAAAAAAAAAGCGAATTGTTTGGGAGGTGAGAGTTAAGGATTATAGTATACCTCATTGAAAGGGTTAACAAAGGAAGCAACAGTCAACATGTGTTAACATTAAAAATCCATTTATACAGCGCAATACATAATAAGACACTTCATAATAAAAATTTATATGCAACATGAAAACTTGACATTTAAAATATTTTAATTAAAAATATCACGAATAAGTTTAGAAAAATTATTTATGTTTTAACAACATAAAATAATATAAAATAATTAATATTTCTAAAAGCATTTTTTTATATGAATGTAATTTTTTTTATTAAATCTGTTTTCATAGATTCCAAAAATAATTACATATACATACATATACAAAAATGTTATATGTGTTATATTTAAAACTATTTTAACAGTTATTTACGCTATCTTTTGAATCAGAACGAACCCACTCCTTAGGACTTAAGTGAACTCCATAAGGCTGGCTAGCACTGACATCTATTTATTTGAAGAAATAAGTAAGTTTTCTTGAAGTTCCACACTGGTAAATCCTTTCGGATCGCAAGAACAACAAAGTGTGATTAACAACAAACAGTTAGCCATTAAAAACAATTTTTTTAATTTTCAAAACAGAAGGAGAAAATAAAAAAATTTTTTAACAAACCGAATAGTATTAAAATTTGGCAATTAAAAATAAAATATAATTAATTAATTCAATTATTCTATAGCTGGTTTATGAATTCGTTCAAACACAGCAAGTGGATTTGTTAATAAGAAAACCTTAACAGCATATTAACAAAATTGCAAAAAAATGTGCAGAAATAAAAATCAAGTGCGGCTTTGGGTCAGTTGGTTAAGAAGCACTGACTTTGAGCTTAAAATTTGGCAGCGCACTAGTTTGATTTTTGGTAATTGCAGTCTCAAATTATTTACGAATAATTAAATACAAGAATTATTTCCAAGACCATTAATAATAGATAATACCTGAAACAGCTGTATGGTCAGCCAAATATTCAATTAATTCAAATAATGTAAAAAGAATTTTTGTTGTTGTAGGGTATTACCTTTATTCGGTATTGAGTCAAAGTTATATATAAAACTTATGCAGATGTGTGGTGTGAAATATTCAATTATTGATGTACAAAATAACTATTTATGTAAAAGATATATCAATAAGAAAGTAAATACACTAGGTAATAAAAATATTTGTCAGATTTAATAACTTTAGTGAATCATATAGTTTGTATCGGCTCGTCACCATTTCGTTTATACAGCTTTTAGTTTACTTTTTTAATTACAAATGGAAGCTAAAGTGGTATTGTATAACAATCGTCGTATATACTGAAGGTACTACATCATTTTGGATGAATCTGAGTTTATAAAATTGAGCATAAAAAAAAACATATGCAAACCAAAATTTATTTTGTCGCTTTCCAAATCATAAATTCCGTGTACTTTTTAACTTAATAAAGAAGAGATAGTCTCCTTCAACCACTTTCTCTGGTTTTGCGCGGTACTATAGATAAAGAATCTAAAATTTCTTAGAGATAGTTTTTTAATCGATAGAAATAATGAAAATGGTTTTGTTGGAGTATCTTAGGCTTTAGGAACAATATTTCCAAGTAATTTTGCGGGCATCACAATGGGCAATAGATGTTTTCGCGTGGATGCGCTTACAGTTGTGGTACCACAAACCCTCTTAACCTGACCTAGTCTAATAAATATTAAAACATATGTTAAATAAGCAGAAAAGCTAACTAAAATTATTATTATATTCAGTGCATCCTTAAAAAAACTGTATATTATCCTTAATACAGAGCAAACTAAGCAAAATGAATTCTTGCTTTTTATGGACAAAGCTCATAGTGGTTATTGGAAGTGTTATTTGAACGTATAAAGTGGTTGGAAAATTTGTAGAAAAATATACGATAAACAAAATGAAAGAGTAGATTTTATTTTTAATAATAAAATTGTATATATATTTAAATGTCTGCAAATATATCTATATACATATTTATGAAATACATAATATATGAAATAAAATTGCCTTTATATAGGTTGAGTATTTAGAAATATGTAAACAATTTAATTTTTCAATCATGTGAATTTCATGTTTCATGCATTGTCATATTTCACGTTTTGAAATCCTTTATCCTGGAGTAGTGAATTGCTTTCATGAAAAACCACGAAAATACAATTTTTGTTGGATAAAAAAGCGCCAACAAAAAACAATTGCATACTTAACGGCGTTTAGTGTGAACTGAGTTCATATCATATTTCAAGTTAAGTGAATGTACGTAGTTCGTGAACATGTGCAGGTACTTAAACAGCTTAAAGTTCGAATGTCAGTAGGTGACTTTAAGCCAGCAGGACCAGTTCGCACTAAATTAGTCATTTTAAAGGGAATTGGATGTGAAATGCCTAAAAATTTGACGTCATTTTTACGTTTATCGTGATGTACTGTCTCTTATGCGTATAATAAATTTAGTCGAAGAATAAAGAAGATTAGACAAATCTGAAATAAATTTTCTATTTCGTTAAATAAGAACATCTTAGAATATTTTGTTAAAAAATTTTTTTAATTAAAGAAAATCACAAAAATATATTTATTTTAAGGTTAATTTTTTCTTGCCGATAATGGCGTGTCTTTTTATGACGAAAGAAACTATTTAAAAGTTAGACGGATTCGAATAGCAAAGAATTAATTTTCTAAATAAAATTTTATTATAAATATTTATTATATTATTTTATTGTTTATAAAAACCGAAAAAAATTAAAAAATATGTTTGTTTATACAGTATGTATATTATTCAAAATACTAGCATCAAAATATCGGCATTAGTACCGAAAAAACAACATTAACCCTTAACATTTCTTGACTTGACATAAGTCATAAAGTACAAGTACAAGTATTATTGAATTTTTTGGCAGCAAATCTGGAGAAAAAAAATCTGACGATATTCACAAATAGCCCGTTCTATTCGATGACCGATACGTGAACAACTATTTATACCTACACGTCTACGGAATAAAAGATCCCCTATTTTCAACACATGAGTCTCAGGATTGCTGTACTAAGATTAGTCAAACTATTTCTTTACATGACGAGTTAGAAAAGCTCGGAGTTCGTGCTTTACTCCGTTTGAGTACTATATATTTTATCAACTGCAGTGATATTGGTTTTGTAAAGATTTTACTCTTCACTGTTTGCTATCATCTGTATTACCATTGAAGAAAGATAGGCTTAACCAATTGGAGTTTCTAGATTTTGTGTAGTAACTAAGAATTTTGCACACTTTTTAATTATATGTCTTACATTCTAGGTCTCAAAGTTAAACTCTCCGAAGGCTCTTCAAAGTGCCATCGTACATCCGCATAAATGACATGCTAAGGGATCTTAAAATAGATCCGGTCAAAAAATACATAGGGACAGAGCTCTGAAGCTATATGCAAAAACCGACAGGCTGTCCTACTTAGCACTATCTAATCTCAGAATAATCCCTAAGTAATCACGAAGATTATGAAGAATACTCAAATTAGTCAGTGAGATGGTTGGGCCTCTGCAGAAACTCCGCAGCTATCAAAGAGTAAAAGTGCCCAGATGCACTAACTCGAAAAAGGCATTACATTACATTACATTATACTCTAGGTAAAATAGCGATTGAAATTAATTAAAAAATTAAACTAGAATACATTTTCACGAAATCATCTATGCTTAGCAAAGAATCCCAGTTACAACAATGAAATACGAAATCTTCAGCTACTCTATTAATCCATAATTTTATATTTGGAATTAGTGAGAACGTTCATATTCCTTTTGGGAAGTAATTGAGAATTAGGATTATTAAATTAAAATGCTTAAGTAATTCAGTGTATTCGAAAATACTTTTTATTATTTATAAAAGCATATATCAAAGTCAAAAATTTCAGGACTAAAGATCCTGAAATGGATGCATAAAAATGTGTTCTTTCTAAAGCAATAGGATTATCTATTTCATATATGAAATCGGGTGTATCTTCTTTTGCAGTTTGTTTGTAGACCTGTTGAGAAATTTACTATTAGGTAATTTAATTTAAGTTTTTTATGGCTATCTGAAGGATGAAAAAATGTACTTAATATGAAATATATAG